TTTATTAAATAAACCTTTAACTTTGTTAATGTGGTTCAAACCAAATTCACAACAGAACTTAATTAAAATCATCACTGTTTATGTTAAGGCATAAAATGGTTATAATTTACTTCAATCTGTCATAGAATCCAGGATGCACCTTTAGTGTCTTCCAAAATTTCAGTAGCTCGTTGATTGAAATGGTGAAAGTCCCAAAGCAGGTGAGATAGAGTTTGCAGACCTGGCCGGTCAGTAGCAGTATCATTTGTAGGTGCAGGCAGCACCTGTCTATCTAACTAGTTCAGTTCAAGGATTACCTGATGTGAAGTTTAGAAAGTGATTGTGAGGGTTCAAAATGAAGGAAAGATTTTAAAGAAACCCAGCCTCCTTGAGATGCCAAGTGAAATACAGAAGGGAGTCTGCAAGCTGAAGTCTCTAGCTGCATCTGTGAATGCATGAAATTTAGAAAGCCTGACCAGAGAATGAGCCAAGGAGGTTTTCTTGATTGCATGATGGTAAGGAAGAAAATAATTAAAAAATAGTAAAGCCAAACAAACAAAACCCCCAACCCCCCTCCCCCCCAAATATATCCACAGGCCTTAATAAATGTTGAGATATTCTATTCTCGTTTAGCAATTGGCGAGAATTAACCTTTTGAAAAATTAAATCATTTATGAAACTGAAACTACAAATACAGTGTGGTCAAGTTTTTTTTTTAAAAAAAAGTCTATTTGCTTCATTATTTAAATAAGGATAAAATTTATGGGTTTAGATTACTTTAAAGCAATCAAATATAAAATATCTTATAGAAAATAATAGACTTTCTGGATTTTAATTTTTAATGGGAAGTCTCCATAACAACACTTGCCCAGCTGATTGCCTTTGTTCCTCAAAAGGGGAAAGAAACCCTGTGTGGAATTTACCTATTTCCTGCTTTCTTGTTAGGGTTTTGTTTGCTGAAGAATTATGCAGTATCAGATTTCTGATTCTCCTGTTGCTTTGTAAACAAACTTCCCCCATAACATTTTCTCTAGGAAATAATTAACTTCCTTGACTTGGGTGGACTGGGCAGTCTTCCACTCCTCATCTGGAATCTCTGCAGTGATTTTTTTTTTTTTTTTTTTTTTTCCCCGTAATCCAGTGGTGACCCACTGCTGAGTGAGAAGGTGCTAAGTTTACTGTTACTCAATGTCTCTTTGCTTATATAAGGAAAGATTACAATTTCCCTTTAAGCTGTGTTACTAGCTTTAGACAATGGCAAGTAAAACATGAGCTTCCAAGATGTAAAATCCTTCGTAGAAATACCAGCTCTTATAATAGTTTCCCATTCTGCTTCTTGTTTTTTATCGCTACATATGTGTTCACAGTCACCTACATAGAATTACATCAAATATAGAAGCATTAAAAATAGATATTGGGTAACCAGCTCCCTCACTAATTCGTTTTGCATCAAAGGAAAGCTGAAATATTTAAGCTCTGCTTCATAAGCAAGCCCTCTGAATATAGGAAACATAATTAATTAGTATCAGAAGCTATGATGTTTGGGGTAAGGAGAAAGAGGTTTTCTTCAAAAGCTGTGTAGTTTTGGAGTAAAGTCTTAAAATGCAGTTTACTCTTGATTCCAGTAACTGTTTTTTCTTGTGACTTTCTCTGTTTCCTCAAGATGTTAAATTTTACCCTCACAATGTAAAATGAATTTTTCAGGCTGGCAGTTTTGCGTTTCTTTCCATCAACATCTGAGCAAGCTGAATAAGATTTGGTTCTCACCTAATTATTTAAAAGTTGTTTTTTATGGAGGAAATTGTGTGTGGTATTTAAAAATTACTTCTGAACTAACTGGTTCTCTTTCCCATTTATGGTAAACAGTGCACTGCAGTTTGAGAAATGGTTAAGAATTGCGGCCACTGAGCTGTGACATGGTAGGGCTGAAGGGAAATAAACCCATACACATAAATATAAACAACATATGTATATTAGAAATAAAACCCCAAATCCAATCTGCCACAAGTCACTTTTAGATAGCAGATAAGAGAAGTCTGAATGTTGGTGATACCTCATAGATGTGTTTTATGGAAGTTTTCCATGTCCTGCAGATTTGAGGTCTCCATATGGCTGATGTTTTTGGTTAAGAGAAGCATTGAGGGGCTGGAGCGGGTCCAGAGGAGAGCAACGAGGCTGGGGAAGGGACTGGAGGGAAAGTCCCATGAGGAGAGGCTGAGGGAGCTGGGGGTGTTCAGCCTGGAGAAGAGGAGACTCAGGGGGGACCTTATCACTCTCTACAACTGCCTGAGGGGAGGTTGCAGTCAGGTGGGGGTCGGGCTCTTCTCCCGGGCAACCAGTGACAGGACGAGAGGTCACGGCCAGTTTCAGGCCAGGTTTAGGTTGGATCTCCAGAAGCATTTCCTCAGGGAGAGGGTGCTCAGGCACTGGGATGCACTGCCCAGGGAAGGGCTGGAGTCACCGTCCCTGGAGGTGTTCAAGGAGAGGCTGGATGTGGCACTTAGCGCCCTGGGCTGGCCGGTGTGGTGGTGTTGGGGCGTAGCCTGGACTGGATGATCTCAGGGGTCTTTTCCAGCCTCAACAATTCTGTGATTCTATGTAATTGACCAGTTATTTATGATGCAGTGAATACACTTGCTTTTTTTTAATATGTAAGAGAATGGAAGCTTGGGCTGCAAGAAATGCGATTTTTGTGGCCCAGCCGATTCCTTGCAAAAGACTTAAGCCCATGGGTCCATGATTGCAGGCAGTTGCCCTTAGAAGAAATGCCTCATTTGAGGTGTCCAGGGCACCAGTGGGGGTTTGACTGGGTGCTCCCCTCTAGTGTATTTTAATTCTTGGGGCGCACAATGAAAACTTGCCATGATTTGCACTTGGAAGTTTGGGGTCAAAAAATCTGATTAAGTGGATACTGAAAAATTAAGTTTCCTGGGGTGTTGTTGCGTTTCGTTCTTTTTTTTTGGTTTGTTTTACTTAAATCATTGTTCATGGTTTGTGCCATGATGCAGCAGAGGCTGGCGGCTCCCTGGGGCTGGGAGGGCAGGGAGCAGGGGAGGTTCCCCCAGGGATGGCAGAGTTGGAGCTCAGAGTCAGGGCCTCTCCCAACACCCCAGCCAGGGAGTGGGACAGCCCTGGGGGCACCAGGGGCACCCCTAGCCCCCGGCATCACTGATGTGGCTGCGCATCCAAGGCTGGGCCCAGCTGTCCCACCTGCAGGTAGGCCCAGCCCAGCAGGGCTGTGGACAGTTGGGGCAGAGTTTTGTGCCCCCTGGGGATCTGATGGGGCTTATACAACTTATATGAGCTTATGAAAATGCTTTGAAAGGCCTATTAAAGCAAGAAAGTGGTAATCAACAGTATTACAATAATTTAAAAACATATAAAGCTTTTTTATTTTACAGATACAATGTGGTGACCTTCATCTGTAGGTGAATATAGTTCTCCTGAGGCTGAATTTACTGTTTTTTTTCATTGCTCCTAGGAGTATCATTAATGTTTTGGGAAATTGAAATATTTTGTTTTGCAGCATTTGGAGGAAAGAGGGAATCTGCATTTAAACAGAAATAATTGAAATATCTACACATTTCTTAAAACCTACCTCCTAATATTCTGATCCTTATAACGGTTAGAGTAGGTTTCAGCATATACTGTTAGCAAATACGTAGTAGGTGCTGTTCATATATCTAATGAGAGATATATCTTACAGTATTTCTTTTATGTAATCAGAAAATGCGTAAAGCATAAAACTACCAGATGATTTTTATATGATTTTAAAAAGTTTATTAAGAGTTGTAACAAACTCAGAAACCACAAAATTTCAGTATAAAATGTCAAGCACTTTCTATTTTAACCATTAAGATCCAATTTTTGTTGAATTGTCAGTGCCCAGCTGGTCTCTACCTCCTTCCCTCCTCCCTGTCCTTCCACGCCCAGGAAGGGCTGACATGCTGGTCTGAAGATCAGAGGAAGGGTAAACACTTCAGGAATGCAGCTGATATTTTCAAGTCTTGTGCTTAATTCAACTTGGAAGCTTGATCCCTTTCCTGCTCTAAGTTTAAGGACTACAGCAGAGCCAGGGAGGGGTCCACACTGGCTCTTGCTGTTTGTAGATAAACAAAACACATCTCGCTGGGGATGTTTATGAGACACAACCTGTTTGCAGACTGCATTGTTAAGGCAAGTGATTTGTGCCTGGAAAATTTAGCAGAGTTGAGAGGTCTCAGGCTGTAGTTTTACAAGAGTTTTAATCTGTCCAAACTGGTAGGACTGAGTTTTGATCCCTCTCCAGAACCTCCAGTAGTGTGTGTGCAGTTCTTATGTGAGCTGCTTCAGCTCATTAAGCGAATAGAAAGTTACCCACTCTCTTGAATTTGACTAGGCTTCTGCTGTTTTAATGAACTGAAGCAGGTCACCTGGAGTATGAAAGTCCAGGGAAAGTGTAAGGGAAGAGATGAAGTTATCCTAATACCAGCTGCACGTGCACAGATTTAGACTTAATCTGGAATGGAACCGTAACTGCAGTGAGGTGCAACTCAAGATGCCTTACCTCTTTCATATTTCATTAGATCATAAAACTTTTGGGTAATTTTTTTTGGTGCTAACAAGATGAAAATCTGTGGTTTCTAACTTCATGGCTTCTGTATTTCTGTTTTAAATAATGGAAGTTTCTCAACCTGGAACACGCAGTGTGTGCAGACTCTCTTAAGGGTCAAACCCGAAGGAAAAGTTTGCATGAGTCCGAGTGCTGTGAGTATACAGCAGAACAGCCTGTGAGGAAGAAATGATGCTTTGCCTTCTGGGCTGGCCCTGTAGAGAACAGCTTTAGTAGTACCATTAGCCAAGGGAGCACTTCTGTACCTCAGGCAGTAGAATTTAAAAGGCTGTATAAAACAGCTAAAGGGACAGAGGTTTAGTCACAACTCCTTTTATGTATGCTGTTCAAAACAGCTATGTACATGTGTTCATACAGATCCAGAAATAAAATCTGGATCCTACCCAGTGTATCAGAAAGAAACCTTCATCTAGTACTCGTCGTCATCTTCCAGGTCTTCCCCTGCAGTTGCAGCTTCCAGTGCAGCCAGAGCTGCTGCAACTTCTGCATCTTCTTCCTCAGTTTCTCCATTGATATCTTTGTGGTTGGGGGATGTGGGTGCCTGTGCTACTTTGGTAACACCCATGGCAATGATACCACCAGTAATGCCCTCACTCAAACTTGCGGAGTCAATTTTTAAAGGTTCAATACTCCTCTCCTTCATAGGCGAAGGTGGGGTTGAGCAAAGGTCCTGGTCCTGTATTGCTGAAGGCCCAGTGTTTTGGTCTGAATGTGCACAATTGACTGAAAAGCTATTTTTTTCAACATAGTTCCTGCTTTGATTGCCATTTTGGGGATAATCAATATCTGGCAGTGGTATGGCATTGTTTCGTGTCTCCAGTTTTGCACTGCCTTTGAGAAAGACGCTGTCTTCTGCAGACTGTGAGTTCTCATCTTGAATACTGCTCGGCTCATTGCAGGCTTCTTTCCTTGGACTGCCTGCCTCTGGGTCAAGTTCTTGGCCAGACCTGTTTGATTTGGTGTAAAAGCCTCTATTGCTGGCTGAAGTTGCCTCTGACTGGCTGGAGGTTCCCTGTTCACTGGCTTCTTTCGCTGGGTTTGTGTTGGGATTGAGCCCACGATGCACTCCGGCACAGGAGTTGCCACCGTTGACTGCAACATCAGGTTTTGCAACACACAGCGCAAGACCATCCTCTTGGAAATCACTGCCTCTGTGGTTCCAGAAAGTTTCTTTTGTGTTATTTACCTGATTTTTACTTTCTGTTCTGTTTAGCTCATCCTTCTGGCATTCATTTTTATGTTCTTGAATTTCACTGTTCTCTTTAAATTTGGATTTATCGCTGCCTTGCTCATTGCGTTTATAGCTGTTTACTTCATGAATGCAGCCAGGTGATTGTACTTCCTCTGGATCAAAAATATAGCTGGAGTAAGGAAAATTTGTAGAGGAAATGTTAATTATGCTCTTAATCAATACTTAGAAAAAGGATTAAGCTTGATTTTTAAGCTGGATACCTTGAAAAACTGTACCTGGGATCCTGAGCATGAGCTAAACTGAATAGAAATGCTGAACTGTGCTGTAAGCTGCTCTCTCCTGGGACTAATCCTAACTGTAATTACTACTATCCCTGTAGTGAGATTCACCAGAAGCATAAAGAGGATGTCAGAGAACCATGTGCTGGCTGTTGCATGTGTCTCAATTTTTATTATTTTAATTTTAATTTTATTTTATTTTCTCTGGTGAGTTCATTTGCCAATGGGTACAAATCACATAGATTGTTGATAAGTATGCCCTCATGTAGTTGCTGAAATATGTCTTTTTATTTTTTTTCTCCTGATGTTCTTTCTTTCCACTCTTACCTTTCTGCCCTTTTGTTTTGTTTGACCTTCCTTTTTCCTTTCCTACTTAATTTTCTTCTCACTCCATATTCTCCTTTTTTTTTTCCACAGCCTCTCTCTATTCTTTATTTCCTCTCTTTCTCTCATAGCACCAAATTTCTTTCCCCACTTCCTTACCTGTTCTAGACATGTGGCCAAGGGAAGTAGTGATCGTTGAGGGGGGCTGAAGTGTTACCCTTCCAAAACTAGTCAGTCTTCTTCTCCAGGGGGACTTTTAATGTGAGAATTGTTCCTACAACTAACTGCATTTAAAATCTATGGTGGAAGCAAGGATCTGTAGTATTTTTCCATTGCTCAGGAGAGAGTGAGCATCCGAAGAAGTCTGTACTCCTCATTCTACTGAATTAAGGGAAGCTCATGCTACCTAAATGGGAAAAAGCTTTACTAAAGCTGAATTATCAATACTACATTTTTTTTTCTATTGGATAGGAATCATAGAAATAGACCTGAATTACAATAAATGAAAAGGACCCTCGCAGGAAATCAGTATGCCTGTGCTCTGGCATGACTTTAAAGATACTGTAAAATTTGGGAAAACTCCAACCTCGTAAATAGGCTTAAATCAAGCAACAGGTACAGGGGAGCACAGACACTATTTAACGCATTTGTTTTTATTCAGTCTAAGCAGCTCTTGTTCTGTTGTACCTTTGTATCATTTTGCAGCACCTGCACCCCATCTGGATTTTCTTTAATCTGAAAAGAGAGAGAGGGAAGGCACGAGAGAGGGGAAGTGAGTGAAGCGTTATGAAATGTGTTATGGGCAATCGCACTGAAAATGACACTCATGTTTAGAAGGGTTTTGTTAGCTAAAAAGAAAGATGCCTACACAAGAATGGATATAGTGCAGTTCAAGGTCTTTCTAGGTTATTATCTTGCATTGACTTTGACTTTTAGCTATGGAAAAATCTGGGGAAGGATTTAACGGTTCTTAGACAGTGGTGTTCTCCCAGAATACTTTCCTAAGCATTTTTATGGCTTAGAGACTCCTAAGTCAAAATAGTGGGGTTTTTGCTTTGGGTTTTGGTTTTTTATTATTTTTTTTTTATTTCATTTGACAGTATTGAAAGACTTGTCCTCCAAGAATTCGTCCAGTTGTTTTCTGAACACTAATAAACCGCTGGCATCTGCAGCATCCTTTACTCAGGGGTTTCACGCCCAGCCTTGCCTGTGTGAAGCACCTGCTTTTGTTGAATGTGAGCCTGCTTCTTACTAGCAGTATTTCACGCATTCTAGTTCTTAAGATAAGAACACATGGTGAGCATCATGTTCTGCTATCACTATAGTACATGTCCTGTACTGCCCTTTCAGTTCTGATACACAGTTTGAAGAATCCTCATCATTTTAAATGTTTCCCATACTTACATTATTTCATGCCCGTAGATGTGTTCTCATGGTTCTTAGTGTGGATTATTAGTTCTAAGGGTCTCCTGCATTTCAACATCCTTTTTAAATGAGTGTAGGAAGCATTAATGCAGAGTTCTCAAGGCGAGGGGAATCACAGATCTATTCTTTCCTAATAACTCCTGTCCCGTGACAGCTACTGGGCACTGAGGCAACATTTGTACACATGGATGTATTGCTGAGATGGCACTTTGTTACATGCAATGTGTTACACCTGCATTTTACTATGGTGAATTCTTCAGATTTGACTAGAACTAGCAGAGTGTTTGTGTTTTGCTGCATATCTATATTGCAAGCTCCTTGTGTATGTGTGTCATTAGTGAGGTGCTATGGTTCATATGCCAAAATTTTTTATTAGGGGAAGAAATAGTTTGCTAATTTGGACCACTGAGAACTTTTATGTTCTGAACCTAAAGTGAAGACATGGATCTGAACATCCCAAGATCCTAGAAAAAACATTATTCTTTATGAGTTGAGGCTATCTTATTTCAAGTTAATCAAGCTGGGACAGGTTGTTAGTATGTTTTGTCCATTGTTATTCAGGCTCGCTCTTTTTTTCTTCATGTTTTACAACCTTACGTACTTCTCTTGTTGTCTAAGGACAGCAGCTCACTTCTCATAAAACAAAAATTGATGATGTGAGATCAGGGTATTTTCAAAGTGGTATTGATTTATTTTTACCAGGGATGGCCTTAAGCCCACACACCAGTGATTATGCTAGCAGAAATTACAGTCAAAACTCTTTGTTGTGTGGACTTACTGTCTCTTTTTACTCTAAAACCTGACTTCCTCAGGTGTTAGCTCTGAACAAACTGGCTGACGTAAGGCCCCTCATTCCTGGAGCCTCTAAGGGCCTACAGTCGTTCAGCAGCTGGTTTTAGCTAGGATATCTCTGCTCCTACCTGTGTGGTTTTTGTCTTTGCCTGCACATGAACTGTTCTGGAGCAGAAACTTCTATCAGGAGTAGCCAGCTTGCAGTAGCTTGGTGCCTATGGGGATGGTTTGCAAGCCAGGTGCTTTTCTGCCTCTGGCTCTTTGCTGCTTCTCTCTCTCCCTGAAATGCACTCTCTGCTGATCAGAGATGTAAAATAGAAGCAGACAGGTTCCCCATCTCTACTGATCTCGTGCTGTGTGTTGTCATCCCCCACCCCTCAACAGCAGCATAGCAGGAATTCTGATACAGGGGCTTTCATCTGAAGAGGATGCAATAACTGGTGGAGTGCTCATGTGTACTGACCCTGCTTATATGTGATTGCTCTGCAGTAAAGGCATTTTTGGACAGGTTTGACTAGATAAGGAGCTTATCTGAATTGGCTAGCATTGCTGTCTTTTCCAGCCAAAGAAGAATTCTTAATACACACAATTTTTTCTGATGACGTTAAAAGCTGAATTAGCTGTGCCCCTTCTTTATGTTAAGGCTGCTTTTGAAGCTAATTCATTTGAGCTAAGCTCTGTGTGAACACTTGTTTTGGTTTGACCAACATCTTTAGTTTTAGCCTAAACCTCCTTATAAACTGGAAGAACCAAGACTGCATGAAGTTGACCAGCTATTGATAGACTCAACCTTCAAGTCTCAGTGGCTGGCAGGTTATCACGTGTTAGATAAATCACTGTGTGATCTCTGTTCTTGGGAAAGGCAACGTAACTTGGCTTGTGTTAAGCCTCTTTCTGTACAAACTCTTTACCATCCCTTATGCTTGCCATGGGCTAAGAGTATGCAAATATTATTTATCATCATAACTTCAATTGCTGTCAGTTGCCATGTCAGCCCATTGAAATGTTCAAGAGCTTTTGGCTTGGCTTTAATGTTTATAGGTTTAGTGAAACCAGTCCCAGTTTATATGTAGATAAGTTCTGAGAATAGATACTGCATCTAGCTGGGTGTGGGCACTTCAGGTCAGAATGCCTCTGTTAAAATTTTTATCTGACAGCTTTCCTACTTAGTGCTTTTATTTACAACTTCTTATGATTTTTAAAGCACAAAATCTTGGTCATAGATTTTAACCATTGGGAAGTGCTAATTGCTGTCCTTTATTCTGTTGTGAAGATGCTTGTGATCATCGTAGAAGGCAATTATAAATGGAAATTACAGTTGTTTTCATAGGAAGTAATTTCCTGGTTGTGGTTGGTTTGTTGTTTTGTTTTTTTTCATTCAAGTTACTGTTTGAATTTTCTCTGCAGCTACTGCATTAAGTTTTTCCACTGTTTAATTTCAACTGGATTTGTTCTTTGGCATGAATTAACTATTACATATGGAAAATACATTATGTTGAATTATCTAATAAATTATTTCACACCCCTGAAATAGGAATACAGTTTTACAGTGTCATTGTCTGAACACTGGTTTGCTTTTCCCTTGCCCGTTTCTTCTATGTTTATAATAATATTTCCAATCAAGTTGGAAAATAATTCTGGGGACCAAATTGCTTTTATAGCATGAAAAGGCAGCCTTTCATCCTACTTTTCTTATTTTAGATATCTTGTTCCATTAATGGATAAGCAGCATTAATAAACTCCTGTCTGGAGCAGTCTGAATCAAGCATATGCTACAGACTTGCAACAAAAAAAGAGTTAGAGAGCTCGCAATGGATAATCATGTATTATCTGTTAAAAAACGTTGTATCCTTTCATCTTCAAAGGTTTTTTTTTCTTTTTTTTATAAGACGTTTATTCTGTTAGAAATTCTACGCTGCTAAATTGATCAGATAATTTCAGATAAACATGATATGATGCGAAATGTTCCCTTGCAGAACACTTTGAGGGCTAGTTCCCCACCCCAACCAAAAAATAAAAGGCTGCCTGTCTAAAGTCATAATGTCCTTAACACTTAGGTCCTCAAAATTCAGATCAAACAGCCAGTAATTCTAGGCATCATTCCTTCTCAGTCATGAAATTCCTCAAGGCCTGTAAATTTTTGTCACTGGTTATTATGCAGTCACTTAATCCTGAATATAGATAAATTCTTCTTTTTAGACATGCACTATGCTAAATTTTGAACTTTCGCTTTCCAGCTTTGAGTGGCTGCTGAGTGTTGTGAAGTGTGTCTCTGAGCCTGAGCTTGTACCAATTACTACAAAATAATCAGACTCCTGAAACTGCTCTACTGGGAGAGTAGGATAGTCTTGTGGTTTGCCTATTCAGTGTCAGTGCTTGCTTCAGATAAAGTTATGATACTTCAGTGAAAGAGATGAGAAAGGCCTAACACCATGTGTGTTTTCCCTGGCCACCTCAGCAGACCTTTAGCTGACCATGGAAAAAGTAGTTTAGAAATAATGTCCTTGCAATGCGTTAAATGATCCTCCCAGAGAGACCAGGAAAACCTGAAGTTATGCAAGAGTGACTTTCTTCCTTTAAAGGAAGGCGGTACAGAAGAGCAACTCTTAAAATCAGTTGGAAAAAATCCTACTATGGTTATTAAGTAGGTAGTAACACAACTTAATTTGAGGAGAGCAGAACACTAATCCCATTGGCAAAAAAAAGCTGCTGAGCTGCTGAGGTGGCACCTGCTGAGTGAATGAAATGAGCCTTCTCAGAGTGTGAGACCTTCCTGAGTATAATGAGAATAGTTTCTGCCTCCAGAAGTGTTAACAGGGCATTTTAAACCACAGTGTGCCTTAAGAGAAGTCTGCTTTGCTCTATCATAGTTTACAAACACAACATATCTGAATTTAAATTATGTAATAACATAGTTTCTATTGTCTATTTAAACTGTAGCTGTGTTATGAATAAACAAAAGGCAAAAGGAAGATAACGTGGTGAAAAGGGAGGGAGAAATATTTTGGAGAAATAAAAACGGTTTGACAACCTTTGTCAATATTCGTGGAAGTTTACATGGAAACAGAAAAAGGTCAATCTTATTTTTTTCATGGTACTTTTTTCTTCTGTTTTTTTTTTTTTTAAAGGACTTTTTAAAACCATTCCATGAGCAGAAGCAGAAAGCTGAGGGGAGAGCATATTAAAATAGCTTTTCTAGTAGGCCTTAAACTGATAAACTCCAGCTTGGTGACTTGTGATCTGGGTCATTCTTTTTAAGCCAGTTGGGTTTTTTGTTTGGGTTTTTTCCTCCCCCTACACCTTGGTGCTTTTATGAGCTTTTGCTGTTTCTTTGGCTTTTCTTCCTCCTCCATCCTTTTCCACTCTAGATTACAAAGTAAGGAGTTTTCTCCTATGTGTGTATTATCTGGGCTGCTGAGTCTGAGTGATGCATCTCCCAGGGCCCTGGGACACCTCTTTCTGATAAATTTTCTGGTAGAGGCACTTTTCAGGCTAGACCCTT